TTTTTAAAACCTACTCTTACTCTGTCATCAGACTGGAGTACAGTGGTGCGATCTCAGCTCACTACAACCTCCACCTCCTGGGTTCAAGCAGTTCCCTTGCCTCAGCCGCCCGAGTAGCTGGGACTCCAGGCACGTGCCACCACGCCTGATTTTTTTTGTGTTTTAGTAGAGACGGGGTTTCACCATGTTGGCCAGGTTGTCTTGATCTCCTGACCTCGTAATTCGCCTGCCTTGGCCTCCCAAAGTGTTGGGATTAGAGGTATGAGCCACCGCGCCCACCCCTGTATCTTTTTTTTTTTACTTTAAAACGTCTTAATACAGATCGCATTTAATCTTCATAGTCTTTTTTAGGTTAGCACCATTAGCATCCTGTTCTCTAGCCAGCAGCATCAGTAGTGAGTTGTCATTTTCAGTTGTTAGATTATTCATGGGGGCAGGCAGCATAAAAGATAGCCTGGTTGTAGAAAGGGCACTGACATTGCTATTAGAAGGTCTGGGTTCAAGTCAGATTGGCTGGCAGGGTGATCAGAGTTAAGCCAGTTTCTCTCTTTCTGCCTCAGCTTCCTCAGGGGTTGTTGTAAACCTCAGTTGAGATGATATACATAAGAACATTATGTAAATGTTAACTATCACTAACTCTAAAAAATAACTTTGATTAGAATAACCCACTTAAAGTATATTATTCACTGGTTTTTATATGTCCACAGAGCTGTGTAATCATCACCACAACTAATTCTAGAGCATTTTATCACTCCTTTCTTCCCCTATAAACCTCCCAGCCCTAGACAACCACTAGTCTCCTTTCTGTCTCTCTAGATTTGCCTAGTCTGGATGTTTTTATTGTTGTTGTTATTGTTATCCAGACACGGTCTTGTTCCATTGCTCAGGCTGGAGTGCTGTGGCATGATCATAGCTCACTGAAGCCTCAACCTCCTGTGTTTAAGCAGTCCTCCTGCCTCAGCCTCCCAAATAGGCGGGACTATAGGCTGGTGGCACCACTTGGCTAATTATTTTAATTTTTAGTAAAGACGAGGTTTTGCTATGTTGTCTGTGCTGGTCTTGAACTCCTGGCCTCAAGCAGTCCTTCTGCCGCGGCCTCCCAAAGTATTAAGATTATAGGTGTGGGCCACCATGCCCCACTTGGATACTTGATATAAATGGAATCATAATATGTAGTCTTTTGTGACTGACTACTTTCACTTAGTATGCTTTTGAGGTTTGTCTATTAGCATGCATTAGTACCTTCCTCTTTATGGAAGAGTAATATTCCATTGTATGTATATACCACATTCATCCATCTATTGATTAATATTTGTGGTGTTTTCACCTTTTTGCTATTGTGAGTAGTGCTGCTGTGAACATTTATATACAGCAATTCGAGTGCCTAGTTTTAGTTCTTTGGGGTGTATACTTGAAAGTAGAATTCCTGGCTCATATGGTAACTCTTTTTAACTTTTTGAGAAACTGTGGCTGTACCATCTTAGATTCCCACCAGCAATAAGTGTTCTAATTTCTCTACATCTTCACTAAAACTTTAACACTCGGCATTTTCCTTTTTTTTTTTTTTTTT